TTTTTTTTTTTTTTTTTTAGTTAATTTTGAAAAAAGTGGTATGATTAATTGTTAGTGAGATTTTGATTTTATTATTAAAATAAGAGTTGAGTTCAAGTGAGAATGGTGTTCAGTGAAAGAAATAAAAATAAACCGTAGTCATTAAATCAAATGATTTAATGGGTAAAAAAGTCAAAATTATACCTTTATTAAAGATAATGTGGTAATTTTCTGCACATCATCCAAAAAAGTGGGCCCCAATACCCATTTAATGCATCTGCCAATAACCTCAATAAATGAATCAATCGGTCAACCCACCCCACACAGCACTCTCTCTCACACACTCACACACAACACACCCATCACTCTCACGTCGAAAAATCTCAGCCACCGCCGCCCGCCAGTGGCCCGCCGTCCGCCACCACCACCCTCCAGACCATCCTTAGTCACCTCCTAACCAAGCTCATCATCTCTCTCATGAACACACACACACTAACCAGACACACACACACACACACCGAGACACACACGGCGGCTCACACACGCACATGGCGGCTCAAACACTATAATCTGACACACACGCAGAACCACGCACATGTAGCCGTTGACGTTTGCCAGTTGTCATTCGTCGCCGACGCTCGCAACCGCGGATTACCACCGCCCGGAAACCCATCGTCGTTGCCATCCGAACGCCTCCACACTATAATTATTCTCATTCGCCGGTCTCCGCCGCATATCCGTCACCTCTGTGCGACTCGACGGAGCGCGAGTTTCTTTGCCTGGAAAAATGGGGACGAGGTCGATGGGAATCACACTAGACTATCATAAATTCGAAAATAAAATTGATAATGAGTAGAACTGCGTAGTGGTGGTGGTGTGGCTGAGATGGTGGCTGTCGGCCGATGTGTGCTCAGAGGTTGACGAATGACGGGAGTGAGATTTGGCTTTGAGGGCTTGATTTTGAAAATTAGATAATTATGAAGGGCTTATTTACAATTTTGTAAATTTTGGTTATTTTCAATTTAACCTTTGGGCCAATTTATAATTTGTAAAATCTGTATGAAAAATATTATTTTTAAACATATTTTTATACATGTATATATTATATCATGTTAACTAAAATAAAACTAAGTTATTAACATACTTTTATAATAATAAATAATAAAATATTTTATTTATTTAAGTTAATTAAACTAACCAACCAAATTACTCAATTATTTCGGTTCGGATTTGGATTGAATTTACATAAACAAAATAAAGTCGGACGGAACGCAAAATATAATTAAACATTATGCACATTAATGATTGCCATACTGCACAATAGTGTAAGTGTTAGAGTAGGGTACCCGGCGTTCCAATCGGATTGGACGTATTCTACTTGTAAATACGATATATTGGAATTATATTATAAATAAGGCAATACTTTATTTTAAGAGTACGCGTTTATACTATAAATGCACTTAAGATAAAGTCCCTAGATCACTTATGGTTATAAGGTATGGTTGCGCATAGAGATGGTGATCATGGAACATACCTTGAAAGCCGTGATCTTAAATACGGTTCCAAGTCGAAGGATGTTTCGAGATGGGATATCGAATAATCCATAAAAGACTTGCACATAGTATGTATGCTTGTTGGACAAGAATGTTGCATTCCATCAACATTAGCGTATGACGCAAGTACATTTATGTGGGTGCTTGTTAGAGAACAAGTTCACTGAACGTGACCGTATGAAAATTCTTAATGAAGAATTTATTCAGTCGAATAAGAATTTTCATGTTACAATAGTACATGACTAATCCTTAGACTTGAGGCACAATGGTAACTTTGTGCATATTACGTTCTACTTTGATTTATCCTTTTGGTTGCTAGCACAATCGTATAAAGGGATATTTTGGGTATTATGTTAATATGTATGGAAGTTTGTTAGTGGCCAACAAAGGATTCGACACGTATGAAGATACGAGAATTTCCTATGTATTTCATAGTTAGTAATTCAAAGTCCTTGGCCAAGGCAGGATGAATAGAGATTCACACATGAATTACTAAACATGAAATAGAATCATAGTTATTAAATCAATTTGGGTTTCGACTAAAATCATACCCAAGATTTAATCGGGAAATTAGATGTCGAAAGGATTTTACATGTATGGACTTGTAATTGAAATAGGTTTACTCGCTATTCACTTAATACTAGATTCATGCTACTTGCTAGATGTTCCCATGATATGTGGGTTCTTGAATTAAGGAGTTAATTCATGAATAAGAGTTAATAAGATTAACTCAAATTACAAAGAGTTGTAAACCCACTACTAGTATTAATTGTGAACCTAAAAGGTCACACCAATTTTTGAATGAAGGTGAAATTCAAATAGTAATTCTAAAGAGTTAGAATTAATTGACAAATCTAATTTGATTAGATGTCAATTAAAGGAATATATTAAATTAATCAATTGGATTGATTAATTGAATTTTGGATATTAATTTAGTAATTAATGGAATTACTAATTAATATTTGGAATTTAAAATTAGATTTTAAATTTCAAATCCAAATAATAATATGATTATTAAATGAGGAAATGGAATAAAGGATTAAAATAATAAAGTCTTGAAAGATGCTTTCAAGAATTATTATTTTATTAAATATCTTTAATATGATTAAAGATTAAATATTAATAAGAATAAATTAATTATGGTGGTTATGAGATGCTAACTACTTAACATAATTAATCTTATTCTTATTAATTGAATATTGGGTGGGGAATAGTCTTATTCAAGACTTAATATTTTATGAAAATATTCTTGAAGACTTTTTATATTTTATGAAAATATTCTACCCAATATTATTATTTTATACTAAAATGTTTAGTATAAATATGGACATGTTTGATGTTCAAATTTAATCTTGAGATTTGATCTTAATGAATTCCATATAAGTTTTCAAAGAGTTGAAAAAGAGAGAACTAAGAAATGTTCTAAGTTCTTAAGAAGAAAATTCAAGTGTTGAATAATCTCTCAAAATACAAGAAAGAGTTCTTGTAAATCTTATCATAAATATATTGATATTTAAGTTAAGTTTAAAAGGAGTTTTAAACTTAGTCTTAAGATAAGATTTGATATTAAGATTTGATCTTAATTTTTCAAAGAGTTGAAAAAGAGAGAAAAGAAGAAGTGTTCTTCAAAATCTTCAAACTACAAGAAAGAGTTCTTGTAAGAATTTCCTCATAAATATATTCCAAACTAATTGAATAAAAACCGATTAGTTTCTACTAGCGAAGGAACTAGTTCGGAACCGGATTTCAAAAGGTGGATACGTTTAGAGGGAAGACACTTGGATTCCTGAGCGAGTAACCAAAAGGTGTTGCTGTTACCAAACCGGGAATCGATTCCCTCATCCATCGACAATTTTGAAGGAGTTCAAGACTAAGGTAAATTTAGAATTTACTTACAACAAATCAAAATTTGTATTATTACATGTTATTAAAGATGACGATCTGTTAATTCGCCATATGTATGCACGAGTAAAGTATTTAAAGGTTAAATACTTGTTTTGAAAAATTTTAAATTCCGCTGCATATAGCTCGTACGGTACAGGCGAACCCAACAGTGGTATCAGAGCCACGGTTATCATCTTTAAAAACAGATTTTGATTTGTTAATGTTTATGAGATAAACATAATAATTAAATGTTTATGGGATAAACATATTAATTATTAAAATAAAAATTTGATTTTTTCCCACACGAGTCGTGTGAATGGGTCACACGAGTCGTGTGGGGCCACACGAGTCGTGTGAGGAGTCACACGGGTCGTGTGGTTCATCAAAATGATCAATTTTGTAGGAAAGCAGGTCCACACGAGTCGTGTGAGTAGTCACACGAGTCGTGTGACATATCAAAAGGTTTGATGTTGCTCTCGGGTTTTTCACACGAGTCGTGTGACGTTTTTGACACGAGTCGTGTGGCATGACACGAGTCGTGTGACCAGTCGTGTGACCCAGTCGTGTGACTAAAACAATTTTTTTTTATGCTTTAATTCATGTGATGAATGTTTTTAGCATATTAAGGGATGATCATGAGCCTTTTCAATATGATTGAATGTTTGTTTTTTATTCAATGTGATTGAATGGTTGCATTTTTCAATACGATTGAATGAATGTAATTTATCGAGACCTGCGAGTCTCTTGTGTTATGATTTGTAAAATTTTAAATTTTGTATCGTTAAAGATTAGATCTAGGTGGAGACCGTTCGATGCAAAAGGCCCACGCTTGTGTGGGTAATTTTACAAGTTGTAAATTTTGAAGGCCTGTGCTTGTACGGGTAGATAAAATAAAATGTAATAGAAGTAGTTCTATTTGTTTGTTTTATCACGTACATAGGCATAGACCCATTTTGGCTCGAATGGGTCGTATAGGCAAGGTCATGATCATCCCACCGTATGCATGCATTAGATGTATGTTAGGTTTATTTATGCGTTTGTGATTCATGTGATGAATAATACGGTAAATAAACACACGTAAAGATGGTAATCGATGAGATCTAAGGAACCCAAAAGAATTAATTTGATTAATTCTATATCATATCAATAATGGATAAAAATAAGCTGGGACTTATTAATCCAGGCCTTCCATCAAAAGTAGACGACATGAGATGCTACGATACTTTATCACTGACCATGAGTCGTGGGGTGGTTCTGTGTCGAAAGCTGTGAACTCTACTAAGTATATTGATACTCGTGAGATGGATTCCTCTTTGTGTTGACCATGAGTCGTGGGACACTCTGGTGGGCCATTATCATGAAAGTTTTGATGGGTTTGATTTGACACCGAGTAATATATACGGTCATAAAATTGAGGTATATAAGGAAAGGTGAGGCAAAATATCTTGAAGGTTGTATAGAGATACAATTGTCAAAAAGTTGACTACCGATATAAATGTTTCATGCGTACTCATAAAATTGGGATATGGAATATTTTTATTGGACTTCAAGCCCACTATGAAAATTAGATTTTCATAATTAAAAGGGGTTTAATTAAAATAGTGGGAGACATTTAATATTTAAAGACCTAATATTAAATGAATATGAATTCCATAGTCTACTTATTTTCTGCTTCGTCTGTTGTTTTTGTAGATCAATCTACTAAAATAGCTAAAAATCCAATTGCAAGTATCATGGAACAAAACAAATTAACTGAACCCAATAAATGTTATCATTGTGGTAAAACTGGGCATTGGAAGAGGAACTGCAAGAAGTATCTTGCAAGCCTGAAAAGTTCAGGTATTTATTTTGTTGAAGTTAACTTATCGGTTAACGATTCTTCTTGGGTATTGGATACCGGCTGTGGCTCACATATTTGCAATGATTTGCAAATTATGGCAAGAAGTAAAAAGCTAGAAAATGATGAAACAATCCTAAGGATGGGCAATGGGGCAAGAGTTGCCGCCAAAGCAATTGGGACTGTTTATCTAGCTTTTAATAATGGTATAAAAATTTGTCTAACAAATTGTTTGTATGTTCCGGATGTTATAAGAAACATTATTTCTATTCCAGTAATGGATAGAGAAGGTTTTAAGTTTGTAATTGAGAATGGAAGATGTTCCATTTTCAAAGATACAACTTTTATATATTCCGGAAATTTGACAAATGGTTTATATACCATTACACCAGAAAGTCCCATCCTAACCATTCAACAAAATAAAAGGAAATTAGATAATCAT